ACAATATGTATAGTATTTAATCTTATTCAGAATCAAAATAGGTAATTTCTATCAACTTAGCAACTATTAAAACAAACTGTTACAATGAGGCACAAGAGCAAGCAGTCCTTTCCATGAACTTACAGAGGGACTGCAAAGAAGAAGGAATTCGGTATAAATAGTATGATTATGCATCCAGAGCATTAAAACTTCAACAATCTTGAGCAGCATTCTTTTCTTAGTAATGAATTGTTTTTGAAAAGGCAAACAGGCGTACCAAGATACCAGGGACAAGCTTGATCATCACAGGGTTATTTATAATAAGAAAATTAGGAACCACTTATATGTTCAATAATAAAAGAACTGCTAGTAAATTATATATATGACATGAAATATAATTAATATTATATAATAATATATGAAAATGTTGAATGGCTTCATAAATTATCTTGTTATATAAAAATTACATAAATATGCATTGAAATTAAAAATGTATATACAATATATACACATTTTATCTTTTCACATTTTTCTCCATTAAGCATATTTAATGTTCAGAAAAACAATAAGCACATCACCTAACTAATGAAAGGAGAATACAATTATAGAAAGAAGCAAAAGTTAAATAGCATGAATTATGAAACATCTTCACATTTTAAGTACTAATTTTCGAACAAGTTCTGTGCTTGCCACTCAGAGAAATAATGCGAATATAAAATCTCAGACTACTCAGAGCCACTAGCATCCATGTTTTCAGCATCTAGTTGATTACACATGTACAGGAGGGAAAGATTATAAGATCATTGAAATCATCAATCAACCTTATAATTCTTTCCACGTCCCCTTTGAAAAATAGCTATAGCTGTACCTTTAAATATAGAAACATAAATGTAAAAGCTCAGTGATCAAATGAACTATCCACAAAGGTTAGTTATAACCAGCAAGGAAACAACAGATACACTCTGCCCATTAGGAGGAAAATGTTATTCTACGTTATGTCAGGTGATCCTTCTGTTTGCTCCCACAGAAGAGAAATCTGCATGGAATAACTATTTTTCTGACAACTGATTAGCATTTTGATGTGCTCAAAATTTGTTCACATGGAAATAAAATATTAAGGCAGACAGCAGTTCAAAGTAATAGATGAAACTACTGAACAAAAAATGTTTTCTATATTTTTTAGATAATTTGTTGCCATGGAATGCACTCAAGATTGTTTCTACCTTCTCTGGTTACCACAGAGGTAAGCATATAACAAGAAGTAGATTTATATATTGGGCTAAAAGTGTACCTTCTTTTGATTTAGTCTATTTAAAATTAGTACAAAATCAGGAGCTATATTCCTGTTTAGTAAATTATGATAAAACATTATGTCTTAGGATTACTGGAGAGTGTTGAGATTCAATTTTCTCTTTCATATAGTGGAGATGAAAAACTGAAAATATCACTAAATATATTATGTCATTATTCAAAAAGAACTTATCCCGAAATTTGTATATTAGACTTCTACAAAACTTTTCCAATTTGTAACATTTCATACTCTATTAATTGCTGTTGGAATGTTACTTTAAATCTGTACTATATGAAAACACCTGATCATTCTTGAATGTGTTCAAAATGTGATTGCTTTTTACCTTCCTTGCTGAAATAAAAATGTTACAGTAAGGTGATGAAGATGAATGTTCTTAAACAAAAACATGCAAATTACAGGTAATTGAAATGTGTTTAAACTGTGCTTGGTTCTAATTGTGGGAAGAGAATATCAGCTTACATCTGGGATATGCATTTGCTCTTGCAGTTCACAGTCTATTTAGTAAATGAACTCTGCCAGCACAGCAAATGTTACCATAGTGGCCCACAAGTGCTAAAGCACAGCCACAAATTGGAAGCCTCCCTCACCCCACGCCACTTTGCTCCTATAGTATCATGCTTAGAGTTCCACTGTTCATTCACTTTTCAGGACATAAAAGTAGCTAAATATCTTCAACATGATTTTTTTTTCTTTTTTTACTATAGGTACAAGAGTTCATTTTCCCCTTCATCATGCAGAAGAACCAGATATGGTGGTCTCTTGGGAAGCACACTGCAGAGGAACTTTTATTCTCCTGTAATATTCCACACAACAAACATCTTTGACTCAAACATATACTACAAAAATGAATTATCATGTATTTGGTCAGTACTGTTGGCTTTTCTTTTCTTTTGCCGTTCTTAATTTGATCCACTGAAACTTGCTCATTTAAAAAAAATATCTCACGCTGTCTAAAATACAGCAGACTGATGCCATCCCTGTATATCCTGAGCCTCTGGCTATCCACAATTTGAAAAGGAAACCACAAGAAGATAGTGCCATCTATTCACTTCTGAAAAATGTATATTTTATGAGCTTGTAAGATACTCTGTTGGTGAAGGTAAAGTGAATAATGCTCATTAAGACCAACAATATAGAAGCTCACAGAATTTGGAGCTGCTGCTGTCTGATGGAAATACTGCTGAAATAAGGAGCCAAATTTGCTGTGTAATAAACTGAAACAACCACCAAACACATGCATTTATAGGCAGCATTATTTTAGAAAAAGCATGCTTTATTTCCTAGAGTTGAGTTGCAAAACTTAATAAATTAATTTTAGTACACCCCTTCTTCTGAAAGAGAATTTTTTTAGTATTTTTAAACTATCAGATCTCTGACATTATGCTCAGCAAATCACAGATTAGGAAAAATAAATCCAAAAACTAACTTTAGTGGAGAGTTGTCAGGAAAATAGATCCTTACAAAGTAATTTGCAACCCAAACAAAATTGTCAATTTTAACGCTGTTTTCCATAATATTTAATTATATACATGGCTCGATAATTCTAAAGGACTGGTGGCCACTGAAGTGTTCGAAAATGCATCTTATGATAAAAC